CGGAACTCGTGGCTGCTTTGGTTATATAAGTGAATTCAAGGTCATCATACCAAAGCAGGCTTGTGTCTTTCAATTTCCGTCTTCAAGTACTTGCGGTCGTGGGTCAGCGTTACATCAGTGCCCAACGTGTAGAGTGACCCGAGCATCTTGTATGACGCGACTTGAATTTCGTCCACTGGAAAGAACGGTTTTTATTAAATCGAGAATACATCTATACATATAAATAAAATTGGAGCGTCTGTTTGTAACATTGAAATAAACGCTTTTTACTACATGCATATGAATATACGGTACATACACCAAAATAACATTTTTTACAATTTTTGTATGTCTGTTTGTTTGTTTCGGCTTTCTTTTCTTTGTTTTAAGTTTATTTTATACAAAAGCTTAGGTCTTTTACTTATCGATGGAGGCACTACGAAGTCTGCCGGGTCAGGTAGTCTATCTTCTATATATATAAAAATGAATTGCTGTTCGTTAGTCTCGCTAAAACTCGAGAACGGCTGGACCGATTTGGCTAATTTTGGTCTTGAATTATTTGTGAAAGTCCAGAGAAGGTTTAAAAGGTAGATAAATATGAAAATGCTCGGAATTAAATAAAAATAACAATTTTATTTTTCCTTTTATGTGTCCCCTGTCGGACGGATTACTTTTTTTTATCGATTGAGGTACTACGAAGTCTGCCGGGTCAGCTAGTCAATAATAAAAATTTAATGTTTTCGAAGCGAAGCGAGTGCGGGTCGCTCTAGTAAAATATTATAAAGCTGAAGAGTTTGTTTGTTTGAACGCGCTAAGATCAGGAACTGCTGGTCTCATTAGAAAAAATCTTTCAGTGTTAGATAGCCCATTAATTGAGAAAGACTATAGGCTATAAACATCACGCTAAGACCAATATAAGTGGAGCACCAATAAAGGAAGTTTCAAAATAGGGGTTTAAATAGCTCTTTAACATTCAATAATTCGAAAATATCTTCACTTACTACGTAAATGAAGTGGGGGGTAAAATTTAGCGTTATGCCAAAGTAACTATTCCACGCGGACGGAGTCGCGGGCATAAGCTAGTTTTTATGTATGACTACTGGAATTTAGAATTTAATGGTAAGAGATCTCGTGGACGAATCCCCAGTCGTTGGATAGATCAGGTGAAAGACCTTACTGAAACCCCACTTAACGAGTGCGTGTGCCAAGCCTCAGTTCGCAGACTATGGAAAAAATCTGTCAAGGCTTTAATAAACAAGAATTCCACATGACCACGACTTCTCCGCCAAGAGCAACCGAATATGATGATGATGACTGGAATTTGACCAAAAATTTGCATGGCGATTTTTTTTTATTGGCCTTGTAGGCAGACGATCGTACTGCCCACCTGATGGTGAGCGGTTACCGTCACCCGTGGACGTGAGCAATGCGAGAGGCAAAGCCAAGCCGCTGTCTACGTTGCACTGTTGTGCTCTGAGTGTGGGTAGAATCCATTTAAACACGAACCGTTGTTAGTTTTTTTTTAATAGCCTAGAATTATTACCGTTTGGATAACGTCAGAATGGTATTGTGAACAGCTGTTCCATACTCCAATCCGAAAAGCATGACTGCTTCACGGTGCAAATACGCGGTAGTATGTATTTAAGAGAATTTTAAATTTGCGTCTTTTTGCGATCATGAATACATCGTAGAATTCGTAGGCAGCGGCTTGGCACTGCCCCTGGCATTGCTGAAGTCCATGGGCGACGGTAACCACTCACCATCAGGTGGGCCGTATGCTCGTCTGTCTACAAGGGTTGGTGGTAGGACCTCTTGGGAGTCCGCACGGGTAGGTACCACCACCCCGCCTATTTCCGCCGTGAAGCAGTAATGCGTTTCGGTTCGAAGGGTGGGGTAGCCGTTGTAACTATAGTGAGACCTTAGAACTTATATCTCGAGGTGGGTGGCGCATTCTCGTTGTAGATGTCTATGGGCTCCAGTAACCACTTAACATCAGGTGGGCTGTGAGCTCGTCCATCCATCTAAGCAATAAAAAAAAAACATGTTAGTAAGTACATATTTGCTTAGAAAAAAATGGTTTTTGTGTCCAGAATTTGTGCACTAGCAAAAACACAGATCGCCTCATTCCCCATAAGATCACGCTGATTTTTACACGACATGTTATTACCTCTTATATTTGTTTCCGATGCAAGAGAAAATGCTACCTCAGATCTGATAAATGTTAACTCTGGTGTGCAATTATAAATTGAAAGTTCTTCGAGTCTGAAACTAAACACTTCTCTAATAAACATAATCCTAGTTGGATTAAACCTGAAGACCGCGGTGTAAGAAATAGTAAGGGTCATTAGCAATGACATTTTTATTTTATTTTTCCTACATATTATTATGTTGATAGACTTCAGAGGCTATATCAAGCTACCGTGTAGGTGAGCTCTTGGGGGCTCAAACCAGAGGTGTTACTAACACTGGCCCTAGCAAGAGCAGTGCTTCGCAGAATCTACTACCGGATCGGAAACGCGACCCACTGAGAAGATCCGGCGAGAAACTCAGTAAGCTGTGTCTGTGGGTTAATTTACTAGCCGAGCCCTTTGTCGCAAGCGGTATTTTCGGCGAGGACGGTGACCGGTGTTTGAGGTACTTAAAAGCACTGTTAATGGATCGGGAGGATCCATAATGACGTGCTTAGGGTGGCGTTGACTGTTTACCATTCGTTCCACAGGATCGGGTAACCACTGACAAATGAGACAATCACTTATTACCGAAGCTAGATAAGGAGAAACATATCTAGTAAGTCAGGCCACATGAAGTTGCAAATATGGCATGCGTCCTAAAAATATTTTCATATTTGATTCAATAAATAAAAATACTTCAATAAACAATAAACCTCGAGTTACGTAATAAAGTTATTTGTTTTTCTTAAATTAAGTTTTTCAATAAACTATAAACTTAAATGTTGAAATTCATATGTTACTGGCAAGTGTTTTTGTTGCCGTTCACATATTGTGTTTCGGTAAGAAAAACAAGTTTAATTTTATTGTTTTCAGTAGATTTATTTTGTGTTTTGGACACATCCTGATCTAGTGAAATCCTTTTTCGTTAATCGTTATTGTTATCGAATACGTTATCTAAATCTAAAACGGTATCATGTTTCGTTGTCCTGCAAAAATTTATTCAAGTCGATCCGGCCGTTTAGTTGTAGTATATATAAATAACCTAGATACCGACTGCAGCGCTATCTGCCAGGCCGATTTGTGAATCTAAACCATCCAGGGTGCCAACCAAACGCATACAAAAAAAATCATTCAAATAGGTCCAGCCGTTTAGGAGGAGTTCAGTGACAAACACGCGCACAGAATAAATATATATATATAAAGATTTTAATAGATCAGTCCTACTAAATGAGACACCCGTTGTATCTCAAGATGCGATCATACGACTAATGTTGAATCTTGTGGCTTGTATATTTTTTTGGAACGAAGTTCCTTATGGGACGATGCGGAGGGTTACCCTAACCGCGAAAAAATGTCCGCAACGTAAGATTTTTATTAGTAATGCACGTAGGACGTAGCATGCAGTGTAGGACTTAACTTTGTAAAAACGTACAAAAAATTATATATTTTTTTATCATTCATTGACCACGATCTTAGAGTATCCGTTTGCGCAATACACTATGCAAACAACCGTGAATGAAGTGTACCACAATAAGCTCGCACGTTACCGTATGATCGTGGGTTGTTGCGAAAACTCCAGTTTTATTTTCTTTATACCTCGAATAGAACTTAAAATAATATTTTTATAATAAGGAACTACGTTCCTATCTGGTGTCCCACGACACCATACATCTTTTTATAATTAGTTAGGCATTTGTAGACACACACCATTCACAAGTTATTACCACTATGATGGGAGAAAATTTTGAAATAAAATTTCAATATACTTATTAATTTGCGTGATTATTAGTAGTAGCATCTAGAGATACCGCCATTCTGCTATTTCTGCCTGAAAGTTGTCATGTATTCCGTTTTGAAAAGTCGGACAGATCCAAATTTTAGACTAATTTACGGAAGTGACACATAAGAGTTGCCTTAGTAGGTTGAGCAGCTGATAAGATATTTTAGTTAACGCTTTCTCTATTTGGTGGTTACATATTTTAGTAAAATTTATCATACGACCAATAATGTGTCGACCATGGAGTCGTCGTGGCCTAAAGGATAAGACGTCCGGTGCATTCGTGTTGAGCGATGCACCGGTGTTCGAATCCCGCAGGCGGGTACCAATTTTTCTAATAAAATACGTACTTAACAAATGTTCACGATTGACTTCCACGGTAAAGGAATAACATCGTGTAATAAAAATGAAACCCGCAAAATAATAATTTGCGTAATTACTGGTGGTAGGACCTCTTGTGAGTCCGCGCGGGTAGGTACCACCGCCTTACCTATTTCTGCCGTGAAGCAGTAATGCGTTTCGGTCTGAAGGGTAGGGCAGCCGTTGTAACTCCACTGAGGCCTTAGAACTTATATCTCAAGGTGGATGGCGCATTTACGTTGTAGATGTCTATGGGCTTCAGTAACCACTTAACACCAGGTGAGCTGTGAGCTCGTCCACCAATCTAAGCAATAAAAAAAAAAAACATAAATTACTCTAAGTTGTATATTTATTGAAACGTTTGTATTGATTATATTATTTGTGGCACTGACAAGTATGACACGGTTAGAAATAATTTCATAAGACTTCAAAAAGGCCACGATTATATATTTCCACCCCTAGAAGTGTTTCTATTCGTAAATTGTACTTGAGTTCTGTATACATATTTTTAGGATAATAGTAATGATATCGACGAAGTTCAGGTTTCTAGTCAATCTGAGAACGTTTTCGGTGACGTCATCCGAAACATATCCCGAGTCAACACTGTACTGCAGGAGCTTATAAGCAACTATGAGCGACTTCAAGAAATATATAAATCGCAAGAAACACTACGGAAAGAATCTTCAGAAAACGATGACGGCCCGTTTGAAAACATGAAAAGCGAAAAAAAGAGGAAACACAAATTAAAAGCAAAGGAAAAGGAACTGTATGTCACAACCCGTAACAGCTACTTTCCGGCAACGCAAATGATTTTTTCGGAAAGGGACAGTGCAGACGAAGAAGAAAATGTATCAATTAGTAGTGATTCGAGCGCAAGTGATAATGAAATTCAATCAGGAAATGCGAATAAGAAATCAATTGAAAAAACATCGAATAAAGCAGAAGTTGGAAACAAACAGAATAATAAAAGTGATTTTGCATCTAGAGATTCTGAAGTCAGATTAAAAAAGAAAATTGACGAAAACAAAACAGAAATAGTTTTCGTTGATACACATAAAAACGATAGCTTGGATGAACTGAATTCGAACAATCAATTATTTGATAATTACATTAAAAACACCGATAAAAATTTTAGACAATACGTCGCTATCACCAGCACAGTGAAGACCAGATACGACAAAATTCGATCAGACAAAAAAGGGCAGAAATATCTGGAATCCAACGATACGAGGTACAATTTAGTGAATCATAAAGTTAAAACAACGAAACGGGTCAAGAAGATTCTACGAGCAGAAACGTTTGCAAACTTCTGGGACGACATCAAAAACAATAAACCAATAAAGTTGGAAACTCAAGGGGAAATCGAATATGAAGTTTTGGACGGTCGAAATAAGGCAAAAGGCAGTTTGACTGAAAGAGTAATAACAGCTGCGAGAAAAAACGAAGAGGTATTTATTAATTGATTACATTTGTAGACATTTTAAGATAATCTTGCATATATAAATGTTGCAAACAAAAACTTACTTGATGAAAAAATCTTGACTTCTGTATTTATACGACAAATTTAGCAATTGATTTTAATGAATGATTTTCTTTAAAAGTAGGAGATCCTTTTTGGTTGATTTGCTTTTGCAAATTAGTTAAAATTTCTTTAACTACAATACAAAAAGAGAAAGCTTTTCTTCCACAGAAAGAAAATAGAGTGGAAACCACTGAAGAGTCATCTGAAAATGGAGACTTAAGTAAAGAAATCTTCACGACCAGCGTTCTCAGACACGCGTATGAAGACGCGTGTTTGAGGCATGTCGTCAAAAATTGTTATACTGTGCGTATTAAGCTTGCCAACCTAATTTGAGTAAAACTTTTCTTAGATAAGTCCGAAAACGAGAATCTTCATCAGGTATCGGCGATTTATCGTTGGGATAGGAAATGAACACACAGGCCCATAGATAGAAACATTTTGCTTCATCACAAAGCGTTGTATTTAATGTGAAGTCACGATAAAGGTAAACTAGTAGTCACAAATTCACAAAGCTTTAAAGACGCTAGAAAAGCCTGTATTGAAGTACGTCGAATGTACGTAATGGCAGCCGCTACGGAAACCCAAAAAAAATATCATTATCTGTTTTTAGTTTGCTTTTTGTCTGTTTCCTTTCAAGGCCTGCAAAAAAACGAAGAAATCCTTCTGCGGCAAATACAGATGCAAGTCCGCATTCAAAACTGAATTTCTCTCTGCAGCGAGGACCGGATGTCTCAGAGAGTTCCAAGGGAATCTGGTCAACAGTTCATCTTCAGGTTTAATATCTCAGATACTTTATGGTGGATTTTACGATACAAAGAAGATAGTTTCTTTGAATTACGATTGGATAAAATATATTCATCGGTAATCCTGCTGGTTTATTCATGGTATAGCAAGTCCATGCACGTTTGCATAAGAATTCTGCCTATTTCTCCAGCGAAGTATTCATGCCGCAAGAGAGGGTAGCCTTACAGAATGCAGTTGAATAAACACGCATAAAGCAATAGATGATGGCAATACAATTAACGTCCTTTGATGCTCCAGAAGCTACTAAAGAAATCTTTATAAATATAAAAAACATGCTTTTTTATTGCTTAGGCCTGTGGACGAACTCACGGCCTACCTGGTGTTAAGCCGTTACGGGAGCCCATAGATATCTACAACGTAAATACCGCCACCTACCTATAAGTTCTAAGGTCTCAGTATAGTTACAGCGGCTGCCCCACCCTTCAGACCGAAACGCATTACTGCTTCACGGCAGAAATAGGCAAGGTGGTGGTACCTACCCGTGCGGACTGACAAGAGGTCCTACCACTAGTAATTACGCAAATTATAATTTTGCGGGTTTGCTTTTTACAACACAATGTTATTCCTTCACCGTGGAAGTCAATCGTGAATATTTGCTAAGTACGTATTTCATTAGAAAAATTGGTACCCGCCTGCCGGATTCGAACACCGGTACAGCGCTACCGGACTTATCCTTTAGGCCACGATGATTTCTTATGTAAGCTATACATTTTTTTACATTTTTTTCTCGAAATGTTTTAGCTGAAATCGAAAAGGAGCCAGCAAGAGATCGACAATTAGACACGTTCTGTTTGTCGCGTTTGCATTCCGAACATGAAGTAAGTTTACGTTTTAGATAATAAACTAAATATATGACTTATTTTTTTGATACAACGTTTACCCGCTTTATAAAATATACACGAGATCGAAGTATTTATTGGATAGTGGGTGTACCGTCTTGAAAATCGGAACGCATAATTGCTTCGTGGCAGAAGCAGGTAGAATGGTACGTACCCGTGTTGTGTTATCATCATACTGCCTGCCACCTTCAATATCGGTTGGCGATCGCAGCAGTTCATTTAGTACTCCAAAAATGCTGCTATTACACAGTTACTCGTCTTTTACGACACCCACTGAATAGGTATTGGTTTTGTATCAGTATTGGTCCCATGAGTTGGTATTATTCTGGGCTAGCACAAACAGAGAGTAGCATGAACTTTGCTTTCGTGGTGGCTTGTGCGATCATAAAACCGAGATGATGGTATCATTTCAATCATTTTAACCGTAATATAGCTATTGTTTCAATACATTAGTGTAGTTAGCGTAGGTAGAATACAGAAATCAAGGTTCAATATCGCCACTCACCGCCAATTGTTATTGAACTTAAATTGTTTTTTTTTTTAATTTGCAGGCGTTGAAACTCAGCGAAAACACAACTAAAAACATAATGAATTCTAATTCTTTTGGTAATGTACATATTCTGCGCGATAAATATGAAAAAGCCTGCAAGGAACATTCCGTGGAAAAGTGCCGAAACGCTTGCACGTTTAGTTCGAAGGAAGCTTGTAAGAAATCGGATTGTGATAATTCGAAAACGAAGACTCTAAGGAGATCTTGTAAAACTCAATGCAGGTCCGCCTTCAAACTGTATTCTGAAGATTCGAGCGATTCCGATAGCAGCAGTAGTAGCAGTAGTGAGAGCAGTAGCAGCAGTAGCAGTAGCAGCAGTGATGATAACGATAGCAACACGTCAAGAAGCGATAGAAGTGAAGATAAGACAAAGAAAACAAAGAAAAATAATTGAATTTTCGAATAAAACCTGTTGACGATAGAGTATTTGTTTTAACACTAGCTGACCCGGCAGACTTCGTAGTGCCTTATCGATAAATAAAAGAAATAAACTTGTATAAAAGAAACTTAAAAAAAAACAAAAGGAATTCGTCCGACGGGGGACACATCAAAACAAAAACAAAATTGTTATCTTTATTTAATTCGGAGCATTTTCATATTTATCTACCTTTTAAACCTTCTTTGGACTTTCACAAATAATTCAAGACCAAAATTAGCCAAATCGGTCCAGCCGTTCTTGAGTTTTAGCGAGACTAACGAACAGCAATTCATTTTTATATATATTGGTATAGATAGACAAGCGGACCGCTCCGGCTCTGTTCGGGTCTTTAACAAAAATTTCAACGATATTTGACGTAGTTTTATTTTTTTAAATAAAAGAACACTTATTGCGGCATAACTATAATTGTTAGACATATGCTGTCGCGACACTTTTTGTAAATAATAATATGTTCTACAAAGTTGTATAATAGTAAATTATTTTATTCTATCATCAATAGTTTTCGCAGGGCACGCGATGTAAAGAATGTTTTAGGTAATTTATTTACACCTTGGCTTACATTATTGGAGTTTTAGTAAGGATCCCTAATTTTTTTTCAAAAAAGATTATAGCCTATGTCACTAGGGAATAGTGTAGCTTCCAAACAGTGAAAGAATTTTTGAAATCGGTTCAGTAGTTTCGGAGCCTATTCAATACAAACAAACAAACAAATGTTTCCTCTTTATAATATTAAAGTATACCTATAGATAATGTGAAGTGTTAGGGAGGATATATCAATTATTAAACAGAATACTTACAAAGCAGATCTGATCCGTATTCGCAGTTCGCTAGGTGATCGAACATAGCAGTCAGAACCGGCAATTGGACTCCGTTAATGTATCCAAGAGAGGTAGACGTTTTCAAATGGGTACCGCGGAGGTGCGCGTACTTGCCCTGGAATTATTAATGTAAATAAGCATCTTAAGGAGGATGGATGAAATGGCGACAGGTCACGGGCACCACATGTGACTCACACATTCCTCTTCCCCTAAAAGGGAAGATATATAAGACCTTAATAAGGCCTGCCGTCTTATATGGATCAACTTGTTGGACCACTAAAGTGGCGGATGAAAGGCGATTGCATGCAGCAGAGATGCGAATGTTGCGATGAATGTGTGGAGTAACGAGAATGGATAGAATACGGAATGAATATGTTAGAGGAAGTCTGAAAGTGGCACCTGTGACAGAGAAGCTGAGGAGTGCGTGTTTGGGATGGTATGGATATGTGATGAGACGAAATGAAAATGGGGTCGGTAAGAAAATGTTAACTATGAATGTGGAAGGATAGAGGAAGAGGTAGACCTAAAAAGAAATGGATGGATTGCGTGAAAGACGATATGGGTAAGAGGGGAGTGAGCGAAGAAATGGTATATGATAGAAGAGTATGGAAGGAGAAAACATGTTGCGCCGACCTTAGGTAACTGGGAGAAGGGCAGGATAATGATGATGAAGCATCTTAAATCGCGACGCTTTTGTTGTTCTGTCGGGAAAGCATCACGCTGAATAGATTTGAGCTTTGCAAACATATTATTAGGTTCACCCAAAAGTAACGCATTTGTAATTTGTCATCAAGCAACTTGTTGTTTACAGTAAGGCAAGTTTTCCGATTCAAGCACCCAAAAACTAATATCGGAATAGACAGATTTACTCATAATATTGCGTATGGCCGTAACTTTTAAGCTTTTTGATGTATATAAGTTGAAGTTTTTTTATTACCAATTTGTCTATTGAAATACGTATTTGATAATTGTTCACATTTGACTTCCACGAGAAAGGAATAACATCGTGTAATAAAAATTAAAACCGCAAAAATTATTTGCGTAATTACTGGTGGTAGGACCTCTTGTGAATCCGCACGGGTAGATAAATAACTACACTAAGACCTTAGAACTCTTATGTCAAGGTTGGTGGCAGCATTTACGTTATAGATGTCTATGGGCTCCGGTAACCACTTAACACCAAGTGGGCTGTGAACTCGTCCACCCATCTATGCAATAAAAAAACTTTAAAATGCACTCACATCCTGCAAATTGATGATGGTGTGCCCAACATCGTCGGCCATGTTGTTGAAGAAGGTCAGCATTGAAGTCCGAATGAATTCCGGGCAGTTTTTGACCAGAGATTTAGCGTCGATGCCCTTGACGAGGACTTGGAGACAGCGAACGGTGATGCGGACGTCGGGGCCAAAAGCTGCTAGTCTGTTTGGGGAAATTACAATTTGATTATGAATTTTTGGTAATCAGACAACGATATTTTTTATTTATTGCATATATGGGTGTACGAGCTCACAGCCTACCTGGTGTTAAGTGGTTACTGGAGCCCATAGACCTGTACAACGTAAATGCGCCACCCACCTTGAGATATCAGTTCTAAGGTCTCAAGTAATGTATAGTTACAACGGCTGCCCCACCCTTCAAACCGAAACGCATTACTGCTTCACGGCGGAAACAGGCAGGGTGGTGGTACCTACCCGTGCGGACTCACAAGAGGTCCTACCACCAGTAATGACCAACATAGTTATTGATATGCTAGCCACCAAATCTCGTGCCACTGCCCTGCCCAATTTTGCCGTGAAACAGTAATGCGTTTCGCTTTCACGGCGGAGCAGTCGTTGTGTCATGGAAGTGAGATATAGACCTCCTCTAAAGAAAGTTAGGTCTTGCACAGGTTTTAGGGATACTGGTGTATATCCTGAGAAATAGTCTGGTACTGATTATAGGGTTTGAATTTGTATGCTATATCTTTGGCCTGTTCCCATCTATCTACTTTTTGCTTCGGACAGCTGCCATTTATGTTGGATTATCGTAAACTTATAATCTGTAATGAGTACTTTTTTTTTATAAATTGTGTTTTTAGAAATTATATTTAAATATGAATTACATATTGATAAAATGAAGAAATATTCCATGATCGTTTAGGCATTTTTAAGTGAAGACATGAGTTAAAAAGACACAAAAAATATAAATAAACAATTCATTTTCTTGGTCTAACTTTAAACCAAACACTCATTGGCTTCGGGTGGCTTGACAACGCCACCTGCTGAAATAGCTTTAGTGTTATTGTGTCTTTAAAGCTGTTGCTCTCAATTATGAAAAATAGTATTATTATTATTGGCCAATAGATGTCGGGAATAGTCATAAAGTTGATTATCGATAAAGTTGATTATTGAAAACACGAATAAAACAACATTTTCTGAAAACAAATCGTAGCTAGATCGATTTATCGCCCCCGAAATCCCCTGTATACTAAATTTTATAAAAATCGTTGGAGCCGTTTCCCAGACTCAGATTATATATATTTGTATACAAGAATTGCTCGTTTAAAGGTATAAGATAAGATATACAAACCTGGATCGAAGCAGGCTCGCCAGCTTACAGAACAAAGCGGCGACCATTTCTTTCTCTTTAAGGCTCGCGGCTCCCACATTATTGGTGGCAGTCGCAACCGCTATGAAGTAGTTGCGATGGGTCGAGAAGTACTTCTCCATTAGAGGGAGAACCACCTAGGATAGCACACGAGAGCAAAGAGTTAGGATGCAGTTTGTACTATACCGTCTTATTATTATATTTTTTTAAGGGATTTTATGACCTAAGACTAAGACCTTTAGGTCAAGTCACATTTTAATGTATATCCTTATTTTTATGAAAAATGATAATGTGCAGTGAAATGAAATGAAGATGATTAATTTGAGACATTAAACAACTGAGATGAAATTAAATTAAATGAGATGAGATGATATGGAATGAAATATAATCTCAGTACAATGGTGGTCATTTACTGAGACTTATTTAGGGTACTTTTTGTAGGATCCCTAGAAGCTACGTCCAGCGGCTTTGTTTCATTTTCCCACATTTGTGCACTTTCACAGATACTAAACAGTTAATAAACCACCGTTATTATACATTTAAACCTGAAGAAACACTAAATAGACAAAATAAAACAAATCACACATCTTCACTCCTCGCGTTCCCGCTAAAAAGTCCTTTTTATTATCATTACGACATAACTAACCAAATCTAATCTAGGAAGGAGGGAGTTTGGATATCAGTAATACAGGTTTTTGAATCTAGTACAGACTACAGCTCTTTCCTTTGAAAGCCTTTGCTAGTAAAATGAATTTTACTTTAATTTGCATTTGTACTATACTTTTATGAGAGAAATAAATAAATATATATCAAGCGGTGAAAGGCTATTTGGTTTAAACGACAATTCACTTAATACGCGACATTTATCTTTGTAATTAAAGGTGCGTTTTATTTGTAATTAGCATCAAGAGTTCGATGTTTTTAATTGAACATTAATTAAGTTTACCCCATTCAAATTGCTGAACAATTTTTTTTGTTATGAAATTTTTTCCAAACTTGGCTAATGGCTCTTCTGTAGATTGCAAAAATGTCGCTTCAACCAGATAGCCTTTCATGTAAAAATGTACTACAAGATTATTTGGTTAACAAGTTCTTCGTGATATTTCGTAAACGCGTGCAAACCGTCTCATTAAATGTTCGAGATGGCGCTCACAACTATGTTTGAAGTCTGTGTAACAGTTGATAAACTGATGAATCTTTATTTTTCGCAATAATAAAATAACACTTTTTTAAACAACTATGCATTATTGAGGGTATGATAAAATGAGATATTATCCATATAGACGAAGTCGATTTAATATGCATTATTGAGGGTATGATAAAATGAAAATGTCATCAATATAGACGAAGTCAATTTAATATTATTATTATCCGCAACACGCTTCGTCAGAGTATAGAATCAGAGTTATCAGCAACATGCTTCGTCAAAAAGTACAATACTTCCTTTCAGCTACAAGCGTCGTCATTTTTGTTTTTTTTCTAGTAGTATTGATAATTCGATAGATACATATTGATATATCGATAAATGTATAACAGAATTTTATAAAACTT